ATTCCTGATCACTCTCGTGTATTTAAACCCTCCGTATGTGCTTGTCTTTGTCGGATCCTCATCTTGTCTTCCTGCTGTATCATCATATCTGTCATTATACATATTAAACAGTTCTTTTGCCTGCCAGTCTGCCCCCTGTTCCTGCTCACCAGTGTTTGGGTCCTATTGCAACCATCACCATTCATGACGCATATTGTGATTTTGCACATACTGCAATGGCGACAAATATCTAATATAACATGTAAACCTTCCTTTCCTCGTGTTTGCATTAATGGTAATTAATTTTCTTTTCACACAACTTCATAACCTTTAACTCGGTTTATTTGGGATTAGTTTGTCTGAGCCTGGTTCTGGTAGGACATATATAAGTGTATTTCCACACGTGGAAAATAATTCAGTATTAGCTTTATTAACAACTTGGGGGTGATAAAATAAAGTAGTTTGTTTTGCTGGTCAACATACGGAATATTTTCTCTACATCTTAATATTATTATTGATAGTCTTTATGTAAAATTAAATCTGTTCCCATTTAACTCATTCACTGCCAGCCGTTTCCTGATCAGAAAAGCCCTTTGATGCCAGCGTTTTTCAGCATTTTTACAGTTTTTTTTAAAAAGTCACAGAACATTGCACGCTAGGATGATGTCGACGCCAAAACTACCAAAACAAAGAGCAGACTCACCTCTTACAACAGGAAGAATCCGTTCTTTCATAATCCGTTGTTGAATTGTGATCGGCAGAAGCTTTTCCGGTTCGCGCCTCACCTTTTTTTTACAGCAGCGGCCCAAAACGATCTCCTAACACGTGGATTTTCTGCTTCCTGATCATGTGACGTGTGACGTACGCGAATGAAGATCAGCTTTAGAGCTGAGATGTTTGTTTTCACGGTGCGGGGGCTCGTTCCGACGCCCACACAGTCTTTAGTCGTCAATGGCAGTGAATGAGTTAAATGTATATGTTCATTTTTATGCCAAACATAAGCAGGCCAATATGTTTTTGATTGACAGGTATCTTACCAGTGGGTTTTATCTAGTTTACTCGGCATCTGACTAATTGCACACTCCCAGTCAATCAAGATGTTTTAATGGTTGTCCTATAAAAGTGCACAAAGCACCTCCCGTCTTGATCTTTTTGGAACTTTAACATAAAATCATCAAAAAGATAAAAATAAAAAAAAGTAAAGGTCTATTTTTACAAACTAACAAGATGGAATGTTAAAGGGAGGAAAATGATGACTCAAGATGACAAATAAAGATGAGAGAGCCAAAGAAAGTGCAGACAAAGTGGAGAGTAAAACAAGGATGAAGACAGGAATGGTGGTGGGGTTACAGTGGAGCGATCCTCTTCAGAAAGACACAACAGTGCCATGGGCTTCCTCATTCACAGAGCCATTATCCTGACAAGTTTAAAGATGTCATTACTCAAATCCTCTTTTTCTTAGTTGTTATTTCCATAAATTACTAAACGGAGAAAAGGCTACGATTTAATCTGGAATTAGACGAGGGCTGAGTTGAAATGACAGTGCCCTGTAGAGCTTTGGGTGAATAGGCTTATGGTAGATAAGGAATGGTACAATTAGATTTTGGGAATGGTGGAATAACAAAAAGGACTTGGGTGTTTCTGCCGGCTGTCTCTCTGCCATTATTTTATTCGTCTTTCCCTCCTCCTTTTCCTTCAGTCACTCCTTTCTGTGAAATGCTGCCAGTCTGCATTTAACTCCTTTTAGTTGCTGTTTTACTGGTTTGCAAACATTTTCTCAGACTCTGATCAGTTTGCAGAGTGGCAGACAGGGTATACACTTGCCTGTTTTACATCAGTTTCTAACAGATCCCTCCATCTCTTCCAACACACGAACCAGTTTTTTCCTGTCCTTTTGCTCATCTCCGAGTCTGGAGCGCCAGCCCTGTACTGCCCATAAAGAGGCTCTCCGAAAGCCTCCGTAATGACCTCAGAGACCCGGAAGCCCTGCCTCAGCTCCGGCTAATGGAGGGAATGTAATTAACTTCCAGCACTGGCACCTGAGAGGCTGGAAAACTAGCATGCATGAGTCTGTGCACGAGAACATTCGGAAGTAACAGATTACACATAATGGGATTACGGTGACTCTGGAAACACCCGTTTATCAGATTACACATGAGAAATATGCTTTGGAAGGGTAGGAGTTTAGTTTTTCCTGCATTCAGTGAAAGCAGATGTTTGAATTTCAATTGTTTGACAAATCTGATCACACTAAAAGTGAATAATCTAATAAGGTTTCTAAACTACACTTTTTATGTTACTTGTCCAGGTGCAGTAATAGCGGCCTAATCGGATTGTGTTCCGGGTTAATCCGGCTTCTTTTGGGTCGTCATTCCAAGTGTATGCAGCTGTGATTTTAAAGTAGCCTTTCCGGCCCAGAGAGCGTGAAAAGTGTGTGTTTGTGAAGCAAGTGTGTACCTGCTCTGCTCGCCTGTTTGCACGAGGGCATCTTGAGGGAGTGCAGAGCGGAGGAGGATGGGGGGTTGCTAGGCAACGTGAGCAGTGTATCGTTGGAGGAGTCGGTAGCTGAGTGCTTATGTACTGCTGCAGGCTCTGGTCTCTCAGTACCCACCCTCCACCTCTCCATCACTATCACCACCATCGGAACCAGATCTCTCCTCACTCCCTTCCCTCCTCTCACCCTGTACAGCTCCCTGGTTGCTAGGCAACAACCTCCGCTCTCTGCCAACGTGCTCAGTAATTGGCTGGTGGCATGGCGGCGTACCATTGCCAGATCCAGCCAGCTGCACTGACGACTGCCTTCTCATGTTGCCCCCCCCCCCCCCCCCCCCCCCCCCCCCCCACACACACACACACACACCCAGCTCCATCCACACACATACATGGAGATACAACCCTCCCCCTTGCCGCCATTGCTAGGCATCCCTGCCTTCTGGGAATTTGATTGGCCAGAGCCGGATGCCCCAAACCAGCTGCTTGTGATGTTTCAAGGATGTATGATGCAGTACCAGACTAATTTCTGGATCCAAACCAAGAAAAAAGAAAGTACAGTTTTTTTCTCTCTCTCTTAGTTGCCTTTACACGAGTTCACCTTACACTTTCATCACTTTCTATTCATCCCTTCATCAGTGGTGGAATCTTGTGTGCCCCCATATTTCACACCTCACTAACATCTCTGAGTCCTGATAATGAAGTTCTCCACAACATGGCTCCTTGCTGTTGGAAAGGCCCCTAACTGAACATATGTCGTGAGATGTGTGTTACCTTCCCGAGTGGTCATAGATAAATGTAGCTTTAAATCTGCATGTTTTTAAAATCATTCAGAGGTGTTTTGGTGTAAAAACTCATTGTGTTCATTGACATCAAATTCATATGCAAACATATATATCACCATCATCAGCAAATTGCCGCCCTCCTATTGCACTTGAGGATCAGATACTACAGGAATTTAATAATTCTGCAAACTATTTGTCCAGATGTTGTTCTTCGTCTTTAAGGGTAGCAGGAGCAGTGGCCCTTGTGGAGGCTTAGTCACCGCTACGAATATCAACCAACAAGGCAGTCCGCCATACTCGACGATGAAAGTACCACTATTTGCTCGAGTCAAAGAAAAGCCCAAGTCTAAATAGCACAATTTTGATGCCAAAGCATCTCCAACAGAGTGCTGTGATTCGCCCCTCAAACCAATAGAGCGCTGTGATTGGACCGCTACGAATGTCAGTCAAAGAGGCAGTCTGCCATTACACAATGGAAGAACTGCATAAAACATAAAAAAATATAAAATATACAGTTTTTCTGAATAAATGCGCAGTGATCGGTCATTACAAGACTGGCTGGAGCTGTGACGTTCCAATGAAGCGTTGCTAGACCATCAATTTTGGTTTAGCAAATGACTGTCTAGATTCTAGGCTAGCAAAATGTAGCAGACTGGGGCAATTTTAAGGTAGTATTGTTATTTTTAAGTTAATAACTTTGTATCCAACCATAGATTTGTTAAATGCCAAGGATGGATTTTAACATATTAAATGAACTATTACGTTATTACTCCTTTTAATTAAAAGACGTTTGAAATTACAGTGGTTTAAGATGCCACTAATATTTTTATGGGTTCACTTGGAGTTCTGTAATCTGCTGCTGCTGCAAATATCAGCACGCTGGTGGTGAATGTTGCTCACACTGGTGAAATGTTTTAGATTTGATCTGTTTGAAGACAGCAGCAATACCGTTAGCTGTCCCGCTAGACCATTTCGCAAATTTTTATCTAGAAACACACTTGAGAAAAGTCAAACTATCCCTTTAATCCTCCCTGTCCTCACAAAGGGGTCGATCCATCGATTGTGTCCGGCTTATAATCAGATTCAATGAATTACGCCAGCGTTAGTGTTGAAAGCGCTCCAGCAAAGCTGGTCAGTGTGTGTTCAGCCGTGAGCACCAATCCAGATGGGATGTGACTGATGCAGGTGACTTCTTTGGAGCTGGACTCAGCTGGCACATTGTGGCTTCCTTGCCATTATGTGACTGGCCTAATTATCACCACCCTCCTCTTCCTCCGTTTCTACTAGCCTATCTGCAGCCCCCCTCCACCCTAATCCACTCCTGCAACACTTCTCTCTCCACTTTCCTTCATCTCACCACCTCTTGTCAGACTCTTATCCACCGTGGCTCTAATCCCCCTCCTTCTCCTTCACCTCCTCCACCCATCCACCCCACCTCGCTCCACTTTTCTCAACCCTTCAGTTCTCTTCTGCATGTTCAGCACTACTGAAGACCAGTGGGAGTGTCTCCATTCCAGTTAAACATTTCATTGCTCTCTTTTTCAGTCCCCAAAAGAAGAGACGTTAAAGGCACCCCAAAATTAATCGTAAAAAACTGGATTTTCTCCCAGATTTTTATTTAACGCCAAAGCTCTGGATGTTTGAAGTTGAAGGTTTGCAAAGCAGACAGAAAAGGTGATTAAAGTGGTGTTCATGGGAGTTTTATTTATTTATTTATTTTTGTTTTTTTTTGTTTTTGTGATCCAGGTGAGAAGCCATACAAATGCTCATGGGAGGGCTGCGAGTGGCGATTTGCCAGGAGCGACGAGCTGACGAGGCACTACCGCAAACACACTGGTGCCAAGCCTTTTAAGTGCAACCACTGTGACAGGTCTGTCAAAACACAACTCTCCTCCTTTCCCCGCTGTCTCATGTTTTCTTCTTCCATTTTCACATTGTTATTTGAGGTAGTGCGTTGTACTTTTTTGTGTTCTGTGCACTGTTTCGGTGTTGTGAAAAAACTCCAAAGATGCTGGAAACTCGCTCCAACATGTTTTGGTGCTGACCCAGTTTAAAGTGTGCTGGCAGGATTACTAATGCTGGTTACTTTGGAAGTTGGTCCTAAAAGTGAGAATCCAAGTGGGTGCTCATTCCACCCACACTAGGCCTGGTGCAGCATTTTAATAATGACACTCCTAACACTGATGATCCGTGGGCCTTGAATCAGAGGTTGTTTTCTGGGCAAGGGAGAAAAATTAGGACTGTTAGGTCAGAAAATGCCAGAGGTATGACTAAGTCGCTGCTTTCCAAGTTACAAGTAAGTCCCAAGTCTTTCCAGTCAAGTCTCAAGTCAAGGCCAAGTCGAGTCCAAAGTCAATGATGTGGAAGTCCAAGTCAAGTCCAAGTCCTTAACGTTGAATTTTCAAGTCATAATCAAGTCATCTGTCCAACTTAAATTTAATGACAGTGATAATAAATAAATTCCAGAATAAAAGCTTCTTAAAGCTTAATTTATTTGCTCAAACAAGCAAAAAGTGCAACTGATTTTAAACAAAGTGCTGCTGCATTTAGCAGTGCCACTTTTGTGCTAAAATATCAAATATGCTCAAGTCATCATCAAGTCAACAGATGCAAGTCGATTCAAATCCCAAGTCATTGGCGTTCAAGTCCGAGTCAAGTCGTAAGTCTTTATAGATTTTATCAAGTCGAGTCCAAGTCATGTGACTCGAGTCCACACCTCTGGAAAATGCTGTCGTCATTTAGAAAATGTTTCTATTCAGTTTCTTCAAACAAACATTCTGAAAGAAATTTTCCACAATGGGATGAGAGCACTCACGTCAGCAACAAATCAACAAACAAAGGAAGAACAACCAAAGTCTGGCTAATTATTTACCCAAAACTCACGTTTTTAAAATCATATTTCATCATTTCCTCAAATATGTAGAATTTATTACCAACACGATCAGAAGAGGGGGGAAAGAATAGAGAAAACAACAAAAACATTTTTTGTTTTTGTTTTTGAAGAGAATGTTTTAGGATACTGCCTTAGCGTTTCCACAAAATCTCTACAAGACACCAAAAACCAACATGGCTCCTTAATAAATCTATTTTTGTGTGGATTTCAAAATAACCAGAGTAGAGTTGAAAGTAGTAATAAAAATCCTCATAATTTGTTTTAGGTAGCTAATTTCTAAAATATTTAGAATGGTGTCAAAACTGACAATATGTAGCTATTGAATATCTTTTTATTTCCTTGTGAAAAAGCTGTTCGGCTCTCTCCCTTATTTGTGAATGTGCGTCTCAGCTAGTAGAAGCTAGCTGTTAGCAATATCAACTCCACAATAAGGCACAACGTCTCCAGAATTGTGTAATTTGTAGACATACTGTAAACATCAGCATTGCAAGTCAGTGATAGAGTCAAGTTGCTGTTCTCCATTCTGAGGTGAGATGTCCAAATATCAGGAAATAAGACTCAAAATCCTGCCATCTGTGATGTGGTTCACCTCAAGTTCCTGGAAATGGTGCACCATGTTTTTTGTGTTTAGTACGACTTACATGCATTCATTCTTACTGTAGACCACTACAAATTAAATGAGTGTCGCACATCCTTAACCCTCCCACTGTCCTAATGGGTGTGACCCCCACCAGGAAAGTTGACCATTGAGCAGGATTGATGGTTTATCCCTTGGGTCCACATAGCAGGGATGAGGTGGTGCTCACACCACACCCCTGCCACATGGACCTCAAGGGATAAACCATCAATCCTGCTCAATGGTCAACTTTCCTGGTGGGGGTCACACCCATTAGGACAGTGGGAGGGTTAAAGAAAGGATGTATTTGCATCTCCTTCGACAGTGACAGTAGCATCAACACAACAGAACTCTTTCAGGCTCGAGTTATGTGTGGAGATAAAGCATCAACATTGCATGGTTTACCCAAAAAGAAGGAATGGAGTCAGTGGAGGAGTTGTGTTGTAAGTCAATCGAAGGCAAGACGTTCACATGTCACGACTCCGAACCCTGCCGTTTTCTCTTCTGACTAAGCCGGGAACACACCAGATGTGAAATCGCGACCGGGCGCCGTGAAGCGCCATGGAACGACTAGCGCTTCTGATCGGCACCCCTATTAACCTATGCTTTCAGTCACATCAGCTGCGAAGTGCCACGAAGGCTTGCGCCGTGAGCAATCGTTTCGGCATGAGCTCAGATTTTTTCGTGAATGAGCAGCGTTAATTCTGGCAGGAAGTCAAACCAAAGCAGAAGCAGCAGGCCGGTAAATTTAACAAAGTAAAAGAAATGTTTCTAAATAAAACATGGCGATTGATAAATGTGATCATTTTTGTGTATCTAAACAGACTAGACAGATAAAAATAAACAAGCACACACACACACACACACACACACACACACACACACACACACACACACACACACACACACACACACACACACACAGCAAGCGTGTGGGGGTGGGGGTATTTGGAAAACAGTAGGCATGAGCAGAAGCGCTCGTTGAAAATTCTCGCCTGTTGTGAACAGAGGAGGAGTGGAGAGCACAGGAATTTTGTGAGCAATCCACTTTGCGGCGCTTTGCATCTGGTGTGTTCCGGCGTAACTTCTACTTCCTGAAACAGTGCTGCCAGAGGTGTTTATTTTACAGCATTCATTCCTACTAGAGACCATAGTAAATGTATTGAAAGAATAAGTGTATGCCGACTTTAAAGCATTAGCATAATTTCTACTTTAGCATTAGTTCTGACTGAACACACCTTACGTTTTATTATTACTTTTGGTTTTGTTGGTGTTATGGCTTTTAAACCTTCTGGGCCACCGTAGTGAAATTAGGGATGCACCAATACCATTTTTTTCCCAAACCGATACGATTCCGACACTTGGATCTGAATACTCACAAATATCGATACCGATGCTTCTAACTAGTGATGCACCGATAGGAAAATTTTGGACCAATACCGATATCCGATATTAAGATCACTGTTATGGCCAATAACCAATAAATGCTGATACCGATATACTGACATTAATGCTTCTAAAATGAGCAGATTTTGTATAGAATAAAAATTATTGAAACTGAATTTACGTTATGTAAACACAACACACACATTTGCGGTTCTGAGATGATTACATTCACTGTTCTCATGACTAAAATTACACATCACCCCCCTCACCCTCTGAAACAGGCAAACAAATGGAGATGAGATGGAAAAAATATCGGTTGTTATCATCGGTCTGGTTTAATTTTTCGAACCGATACCGATATGTGAAAAAAATGACTAACATTGGCCGATACTGTTATTGATACTGATATATTGTCCATCCCTACTTCTAACACACAAAAAAATGCAATGAATTGGAAACTGTTTTTATTTTCTTCTCTGCTTTCAACAGGAAAAGACTGTGAGGTAGATAAAAAATAAAATATATTAATAGAAAATGATCACAAAACTAAAATATTAACTGAAGGTCCTGGAGAGACTCCTGTTGGTCCACCTGAATAAGCAAACTAGGCCATATCAGGACCCGCTGCAGTTTGCACCAACAAAAGAGATGATTTTAGACTTCAGAAGAAACAGGGTGGAGTCAAACACTGTTTCCATCATGGGAGAAAAAGTGGAGGTGGTTGAGGAAGCAGGGACCTGAAAAGACTCAACAGCCTAATATAAAAGGCTGGTTCTGTTCTGGGGACGACTGTGGAACCACTGGAGGAGATAATGCAAAGAAGGATTCTCCAGAGAATCAAGAAAATGATGGACAACCCTGAGCATTCTCTTCACAAGACTGTCCGACAACGGAAGAGTGTCTTCAGTCAGAGGCTTCTTCAGTTTCGCTGCAACACTGACCGCTACTGGAGATCCTTCCTGCCAACAGCCATTGTAATATACAATAACTCTTTGATGACTTGATTATTATTATTATTATTTTGAGCTACTACAGCAATCAATTTCCCTCTGGTATTAAAAAGTATTTTTGAATTGAATTAAATTGAACAGAAATGACAAGTTACAGTGAAGCCACTTTCAGGCAACTGTACTGGTATAGAGCTCCGGACCCCACGTGACTCTCAGTTAGTGGACGCCATTTTGGCATGCAAAAAAGGTAAACAAACACGGATGTAACCATGAACATGAACGGGATCCGCTTGGATTTTACTTCGTCGGAGTTTACTTCACACTTTAAAACAGAAGAAATCATTTTATATAGTCAGAAATTAAATAGACTAAACATCTCCGACCCTTACCGTGCCCCTGGGATACTTTTTAAAAACGCCAGAAGCTGTCGGAGCGGACTTCTTACCGGCACAACACCGGACCTGACCGGGGAACCCCTTGGGATTTACCCGGAGGAGCTGGCTCCGGCAGCTGGGGAGAGGGAAGTCACGCTACTGCCCCCGCAACCCGACTCCGGATACGCGGATGAAAATGGATGGATGGACGGACAAATAACAGATTTACACGTAAATAGTCTCGGTGAGACAGATAATAGCAATCCAAAGTGCTTTTTATGTGTGATCTGACAATTGATCAACCATTGCTTAAAAATTAAATACAGCTTAGCCGGTTAATTGCTGTGATCATAAAACACGTAAACGGCAGCATGCAGAACTCATGAGGCAACGTTTTACGTGATGTTTACTTGCTGCTATGAGTAATAAGACAGAAAAAGCCACGCCAAAATAAGTTTAGGAAGCCCACTAAGAATCATAATAAAAGCATTTAAAATAAATACCATACACAGTTGAGGAAACGTTGGTTTAAGTACCTGATATGAAGCAGTCGCTGCATAAGTGAAAACCTTTACTCTCGGGATCCCACAGCTTCATTTTCGCCCGGTCACTAGTGCGTTTTATTATAATGATCCAACGTTTGCGGTGCTC